CCCTGCACTAAGGCACTGCACCTCTGTCCCATGTGCATTGTTGTGCACTGTGTCAGAAAAAATGTATGGTTGTCTGTTTTCGTACATTCTGGTGCATTGCCACAATGCAGAAAAATAAAATGTGACTGTGTGAATCGGCCTGTCAAAGGCACCCACGCACACAGACTTGTTAACGAGCGGGGCCCCTTCGCTTGGTGGAGAAGGAGCAAGAACTTTCTTTGGGCATATTTTTGGGCATATCTTTGGGCATATTAAACAGAGTTTTGTGAAACAATTATCACAGCCTGTAATAACACTGGTCACCAATGGAGGGTGACTCTCTTCCAGTAGGCTGGACACACACACATGTGCTGCAGCCAAATAGGTACCACACACTTCTACGATTCCTCAACCTCTCCTACAGGCTAAAACCCTTGTGTGATCACTATTCCTACGACACATATGCACCCACACACACCATACGCATGGCTTAGGGTAGCTTGCCACCACTTGCAGTTTGCCAGCTGGCTGGTCGGCTATCCAACCATACACACACACTGATCCCTATCTGGCAGGTACAATAGTTTCCACATGCTGACACTAACTGGCATGCAATTAGCAGCCACACAAAGCAATTTCATACAGATACATCTGCAAGCTTACAACTGAGCATACAGACACCGGTATCCCAATACAAAATCTCTCTAGGAGTATTAATATTTAGCTTAGTACACAGAAGCCACTTATTGATTTTATAATTTAATATCCCTAAACAGGGAAATGCATTAAAATATACACAAATAACAGTTACAAAAAAAGGGAAGAAAGACAATTATACATAGAACATTGGCTATTCACTGTGAAAATAAAAAAGGGAGAAAAAAAACAAAAATAAATGTTACTGTTTAGGCAGTATTTTTTTTAGCCTATTGGTGGGAGAACACCAAAATTATGTAAATGCCATGTCTTTAAATACAATCTCCCAGACTTATACAAAGTTCATTTTTCAAGCTGCTCAATTTATAGAGGTATAGATGTGGGCCATAGGTTACATGGACCAACTGGTTCTGAATTCTTGGTTGGGGTTAGGATTTCCGACACTAGCGTATAATTTTAATGGAAACGAATACAGAAACCACTTGACTGCAGCAAGCAAGTCCCATATAACAGTTTGGTTGATCTCTAGGTGATTGTGTTTTGTATCATAAACACCCCTTTGAGGCTGGGGGAGGTGACAACTATCTACCTCTCCTCATCTGCTCAGGAGCCTACAGTACCTGTCAGAGAGTTGTTATCATCTACGTGTCAGTTCCTCTGATCTTCAGGCCCAAAAGGTGTCAATTCAAATTGGAGGGCATCTGTCTGCTCTGTTAACTAGTGAATCAATAACACATATGTAATATGTTACAAGGCCCTAAGGGGTGAATTCATAAACAATTCACATAGAGATTCACCCTGTGAAATTGCATGTGCATTATTTCTGTGGGAATGGAGGCAAAAATAAGCATATTTTCTTTCCAGGTCTGCTATAGTAACAGATAAATCCTGCATTATGGCCACTAGATAAAGCTGAGGAGCATGGGAAAAAATAGCCCATCCCTGCTGGTATAGTTTCTCTAGCTGACGTATCTAGCAGGCTGTCATTGGATTGTCTGGAAAAGGGGGGATGCCTGAATGTAGGGCTTATCCACCCCCTTCATTGAATGCTGGAGATGCATAGATAAATGTGCATGAGCTGTGGTGGAGCCTAGCAGGATGCCAAGTCCGGTTATTTAGTAACACGGAGGCAGAGCCCCCAACCTTGGTTTGCTTCAGTGCTGACAGTGGGCTCCTAGAAGCCCGAGCAGTAGAGTGGCCTGCTCCTATTCCTGACTGCTGGGATGGGAAGGGGTGAGGATATGGCTGCAGCGTGTCTCAAATGTACTAGAGCCTGAAGCGCCGGCAGTACAGGCATCATCGGCACTTCTCTTCCTTCTGCAATCCAGGTGCAAACTAGAAGATGTGGGCAAATTTTGGGCCTCCTAGCAGGTTCATTATGTGGCAGGGCACTCAGTGTTGGATCAGCAGGAGCAATTGGCAGACCTCTCGATAATAAGGAAGAAGGCAGTTAGCTGCACACCTCTCCAACAGCTCCCTCACTCTCTGCAGAACACTATTTGAACCCATAAGCAACAGCCCAAGGTGCAGTCTACTGGTGTTGGATGCTTCAGGGACCGAATTCATGATTGCTGGTCGTGCTCCGAGAGGGTGGTAATTACACTCATTGTGCACTTTATGTTGCTTCCTCCTCCCCTGTTCTCTACCTAACTAATCCTACCAAAGCTACCTAAAGGACAGGGGGTTATGCACAATTACTGCAATTTGAATGGCCATGCTTTCAGCTATTAGGGCTCCCTTTCCTTAAGTATCAAGGGACCTTCATCACACATCCTTGAGGTATTATTACTGAGTAGACATGTGCGATTTAGTTCGTTCCGAAATTCGTTTTGGACGAATTTTCGGAAATTCGGAGATTCGGATGCATCCGAATTCCGAATTAAAGCTAAGACGAATGCAAAGGAATCCGAAATTCTCGATTTCCCCAAATTCGTTATTGTACGAATTTTGTTGCAGCAAAACGACATTAGGAAAAATTCATATATATCACATGCTTCTATGGTAAAAGTACAGAGGCTTTAGTGTAGTGGTTAAAGCACAGGATTGCCATTGTGAAGTCTGCTGGTTCAAATCCAGGCGTGGGAGATTAATGGATACAGATTTTTTTTTCTTTGCTTTTGAATTGGCATTCTCCTATTGACCTAAATGACTAAATGTCATTTTTTTTTCCTAATGTCATTTTGCTGCAACGAGATTCGTTATTGGACGAATTCTGTTGCAGCAAAATGAATAATTTTTTTTTACAGACTGCAGAAAATGAAAAAAAAAAAAGCGTGATGTTTCCCCCACAAGCCATACCAGACCCTTAAGGTCTGGTACGAATTTTAAAGATATGTAATCAGTCAGGATCAGGATGCAGCACCCCCGCCGACCCGCCGAAATAAAAAAAGTCCCGTCGCTGACGACCACCCGAATCCGACGAAAACTAACAAAAATGACATTCAGTTTGAAAGTCAACTTTGTCTCCTGGAACATGACGTCACGGCTCGTGCATTCATATATATCAAATGCTTCTATAATAAAAGTACAGAGGCTATAGAGTAGTGGTTAAAGCACAGGATTGCTATTGTGAAGTCTGCTGGTTCAAATCCAGGCATGGGAGAGTAAAGTTTTTGTTTTTTTTACATGAACGAATTTCGGCAGGACTACCGCTAATGAATTTCGTCCGAAACTAACCCGAAAAACGAAACTAAACTAAATGAATTTTTATTTTTTTTCAAAACGAAACGAAACTAAACAAATTTTTTGCTGGTGCACATGTCTATTACTGAGAATGTGCTGAGCTGTGTTCGGTGTGATTTGTTATATATCACTCATATTAAATATAAGTAGAAAAGGCCTTCATACAAATAGACAACACACAGCTGGAATGGTAACTTGTATCATCTAACCCAACAATGAAAAGTATCTGGCTGCACATCAGAAAGTTTTCAGGGAGAGCAACTTTATTGCAGCCCATACAGCCCTAGGTCTGCGACTTGCTGATGCATTTCACCCAATCAAGGGCTTGTAGATAGTCTACACTAAAGTTTTCCTCCCAGAGATGTTTGCAATGTGTGGCCAGATTCTTTTCTTTGCTGGGTTCGATGATATTGGAGGGAGGATGAGCTCACCCGAAGGTTTCCCCTGTCCAACCATGGAGGAGCGGTGTTGTTACTTTCTTGACTCGAGTATTATACCATCTAATGGCTACATTCAACAGTGGTCATCAAACCTAAGCAACATGTGTGTTTGCCCTTTCAGTGTGTATTGCAAAGTCAGTTAAACATCGGATTACTTCAAAGAAGAGTCTAGTGGTGCAGAGGCTCCTTTCATGGCTCATGTATAATGCATAGGCCCTTTCACAAGAACAAATTAATGGGCAGGTTTGATAGTCTATCATTAAAAACTGCACAACTTCACATATTGACATATGAATGCCTTACCTCTGTGCCAGGGATTGTGTTGCCTGAGAATGGACATTTCATGTTATGATGATATATAGCAAATTCTATAAAACCATACAATTACAAGTCCATTTCACAGCATAATTTATTTAATTAATAGTCCAGCCATGATTACATATTTGGCCTATGTCTTCATGGAGTATATTAGACCTGTTTTAGCAACACTTTATTAGTGGTGAAATATTGTGTTGTTTTATTGACAGCATTACAATTAGAGACACATTTTTGAACTTGGTATTCCTTGATAAAAATGGACAGATATGTAATGATTGCCACATTTCTCTTTTCCTTGTGCATAGGGTGAGATAAATAATGACAGATATTTTGTCGGTTTAACACATGGAATACACTCTGTTCTCATTTGGGTACAGATGGCTCTGATACATAACAAATGTGACACAATTACATTCCTAGCATGCTGCAAATTGATATATTTGCAAGAGTCCTATAACCAGCCGTGCATCCTGTCTATGTTCAGCCCTGCGGACCTTGATAAAGAGTGTGCTTAGGTTTGTCATGCCATGTGCTCTAACTAGCTGTGATAATAAAATGATTTTATGTTTTTAAAACAAACGCAAAAAAAACTTTTACACAGGATTAGGGATATTCTATACTCAGCTATAAAACTGCTAATACATATCAGTTCAACTATGTGTATGTCATCTGTAATTATCTAAACCCATGAACAAAAATGTAAAATATTGCAGCTTACCAGTCCTTAGATGTGCTGGTTGCATTAGTTTTAATTTTTCAGGCTTTTTCCCCCCTTTTTTTTACCTGGTGATCCTGCCAGTCAGAGAACTCTTGTCCTAGAGTGACAATGCTCACTTGCCGTTCTGCATCTGGGGAGGAGCATAGTTTTCACCTAAGGCTGTTTGCTCCTGATCCTGACTACAGAACACTTCCTCCCCTCTTAATCTCCATAACATAAGGGAAAGCTGGTCTGTAGACCACACAATTAAACTTGGCAGAACTGATAACATTGCTATAAATTTAATTGCAACACAGCTACAGTAAAAATGAAAGAAGTTTGTTCTTTAATTTCCATTGGTAAGCAGGTAAATGTCAGATGCTAAAGACCCTAGTGGTGGCTGTGGCTGGTGATTTGCAAAGAAAATTAAGATCGAATGCAAGAGAGCTTGTACTGGAAGTACACTTCTCAGCTAGACAGCAAATAAGCATGTTGAAACTGTTTTAATGGTTTAGATGTGGCCACCAGGAGTGAGTAAAGGAATTTCTGGGAAAAAACTTACCTAGAGCTGAGTACTCTCTATGTGACAACACTGGGCCTGGAAGGATGTAAAGTAAGTCATGCTCCCACCATACCTGGAAGTACCAGCTATTACTCTTTGCTCACAGCAGCTGAACAGACCAGTGGTGGTATAAAAGAAAGGTGGGTATGTGCTTCTGGGGAGGTTGGTGTTAAATGGAATATGTTGCTTTACCCTTCATTGACAAAGCAACAGTATACATTGGTTTTAATGTCTAAGGTGTTGCATCTATTTTTTATGTTGAATGGAAATTAAAATACCATGAGTTACAAAATGTTAGTGCATTTTTCTATATCCTAATTATTTCCTCATATGTAGTTATTATGTTTCCAAATCGGGAAGAAATGTATTGAGCCTTTCTCCCAGGGTGGGGGATCAATTACTTTCACCCTGTAAAATGCCATTTACTGCCAGAAACTAACAACCCTTAAACTGTGCCAAGCAGGTTGCTCAATATCTTGGGCATGCTACCCATCTCACACATTGGGAAATATTGTGCTTTTGCCTGCCAGTCACATCTATCATCCTTCACAGCCTGTGTACTCAGAAAGTACAATGTAACATTAATACACTAAGGTAACATAAATGTTTACACCACACAGACCCAAGGACCAAAACTGGGATGACTGTTGGCATAAATCACAAAATAATGTTCAGCAAAATTTCCTTGCTAGGGAAGAGACAAATGTCTGTTTACGGGAGGTGTGCTGGGTAATGCATTGTGAATTCCAGAAATTGCAAACTTTAATCAGAACCCTATTGAAGTCAATGCATGGCAAATATTGAAAATCAATTCTGGCTTTTTTTCAAAGCTAATAGGCAAGGAGATGCTAAATCAGGGGCATGTGGGAACTGGGCACTGCCCTGGGGTTTAAAGAAAATAAAAAATATATAATTTAGCTGGGAGAGGGTCCTCGGTTTTATGTGACTGAGGGCAACATGTAAAAACACCAATCCTTTTAATTACATGCTTTGAAGTTTAAACTGTATGTGGTGTTGCAGAGCAGTTCAATTCTCACAGACAGGTCTGTGAATCCATACTCTGGCATCACATATTTAGCATGTGTAATAGATTATGTTACTTTAGCATTGACTGAATACAGCAGCAGCACTCTAAACTGATTAATTTTAATTTGAAAAAAAAGGCTTTTCAAGGTAGTTTTTGCCATTAAACCTGATTTTTTATCTAACAGTAAAAGGCATGAACGGAGTGGTGGAACTAGCATCTGCAACACTTTTTTTTTTTTTGGGGGGGGGGGGGGGGGTTACACTCATAGAAAAAAAAAGCTCTAAACTTCGTACCAATTTCCAAACAGTGGCAAAACAGTTTTATAGTTCATAGCTTGTGAATTTATTTTTTGCAGTACCGCACTGATTTGTCTAAAATGTTTAATAAAATATCAAATAAGGGTGAACTAAAACACTTCAAAACCTCAACTCCACATTCCAGAGACAAGGCAGTTGATATAGTAAAATAATAACTACAGTGCTGTATTTCAAAGACAATAGCCAGGCATATAGCACCCACAGTGGGTAATATGTAAGCATCTTGATTGGGTTGCAATACAAAAGGGAGAGACGAGGCAGTTTTCATCATAAAATAAAAATTAGAGTGTATTATTTCCGGAACGGCAGCCAGAAATATTGTTCAAAGTTAATGTACATTATGTAATCAGTTTTTCTAGACCGCATATGAAGAGGGAAAGGCATGGCAGTTTATGTCCCGAAATACTGTGTAGACATGCTGCACATCATATAAGCCATTTTACTAAGCTGCAATTTAGGTGAATTGAGGCAGGCTTTATCATGAAATGCACATTATAGTATATTATATCTAAAACAAAGGCCAGAAATATGGAATAGGCTTCATGCACAAAATGTCAGCCTTTTCTAGGCTGCAGTTCCAGAAGCAGGGACTAGGCAGGTTTAAAATTCACAAACACTGTAACTTTTGTACAAACTATATAGACAACATTGAAGGTTTTGAAGTAGGCCACATTTATTAAAAAATTACACACCGCATGTAGCTGTTCAGACCAGATACCTACAATAAAGTGTATTTTTTACAAGGAAAAGAATAAGAAAAGGAAAGAATGTTGTTTAGACTGCATTGGTATTATTTACACAATCTCTTGTAGGTCTCATTTGCTAAGCCACATATATCAAGCAGCTTTGTTGGACAAAAACATACTTTAAGATGTATATTTTTTAAAATAAAATATAAGGGATATAGTACACACGGTATAGGCATTTTTTCAACAATCTCTTGTGGCTTAATTTGTTAAAATACATCCCTCATTTAGCTTTGGAAGACAAAAAACTATTTAAAGTTAATGTTTTTCTCATTAAAATATAAGAAATATGGCACACATTGCCAACACAGTATTTCAACAATCTCTTATAGGCCTCATTTACTTTACTACATCCTTCATTTACCTATGGAGACCAAAAACATTTGAAATGTATATTTATTCACAATAAAATAGAAGGAATGTTGTACATACTACATAGGTATTATTTAAAAAAATCTAAACCACAAGCCTTGTGTAGTTTTGAACAACAAACAAACTTTATATTGTTGAGAATAAAGTAGAAGTAATATTGTACAAATCACATTATTTTAACCAGCTCTTGTTAGCCTCATTTGCTAAAACACACAATCATGTGGCTTTGGAGGACAAAAAAATCAATGTAAAGTATATATTTTTCGCAATTATGTAAAAAAAACACATGATGCACACTGCATATGCAATCTTTAAGCAATCTCTTATAGGCTTCAGAGGCTAAACGCCATCCCTCATTTAGCATTAGCGGACTAAAAACAATTTAAACATGATATTGTTCACAATAGAATAGAAGCAACATGGTACACATTGCATAGGCATAATTTAAAAAAAATTATTGTGCATATTTTTTTTCTCAATAAAATAAAAGTACCATAGCATACACTGAATACGTAGCATTTCCACAATATCGTGTAGGCCTCATTTGCTAAACCACATAACTTATTTAGCTTCTGAGGACAAAAAAAAATTAAGTTTATATTTTTCACATTAAAATCAAAGGCATATGGCACACTACATAGGCAGTATGTCAACAATCTCTTGTAGGCCTCGTTTTCTAAAGCACACTATCATGTAGCTTTGGAGGGCAAAAACAATTTAAAGTGTATATCTTTCACAATAACATAAAAGAAATATGCATACTCTGCATAGGGTTTATTTTAACAATCTCTTGTAGGCCTCATTTGCTAAAACACATTAAGCTTGGAGGGCAAAGTTTTAAAGTTTATATTTTTCACAATACAATAGAAGCAATGTTGTACACACTGCATACACAGTATTTTAACAATCTCCTGTAAGCCAGATTGGCTAAATCACATCCTTAATTTACCCGTGGAAGACAAAATAACAATTTAAAGTTCACAGTTTTCACATTAAAATTGAAGGAATATGGTACACATTTCATACTGACAGTACCAATACACAGTCTTTCAGCAGTCTTTTGTAGGCCTCATTGACTAACCCTTATCCCTCATTTAGCTATATAGTACTGTATAGCTCTGTATGTAGCACTATATTGTGTAGCACTGTACAGCAGTAATTGTCTCTCCTTCAGCTGACCCTATCTGCTCCAACTCCACACACACTCTGACAAAAGGTTTATGGAAACCCAGACTTTACAGGCAGAAGTTTGGCACATTAGAAAACCCTAATTTTTGGTCACCTCACTGCAGTTCAAGGGACACAAATAGCGTAATTGGTAACTGGTTGCTATGGTGGCAAGAAACCCATTAGTTAACTGTTTTTCTGAACAGCAAACAGCTAGATTTCAGGGCAAACTTATGGTAAGCCTGAACCCAAAGCTCATCCCTAGTACTGCATGATTAGACTGTAAGGATCTTGCTTTATTTCTGCTGTAAAAAAAATTTTTTTTAGAAAAGATAAGGTAATAAATAATTGCTACTGAATGTACAGTATGCACTGCCTTAGCAGAACACAACACATGTACTCTGATATACAGGTAGATAGGAATAAGAATTTAGTACCACATTGCAACACACAGCCTGCAGGAACATGCCAGAATTATCTTTGAAACAGCCATAATGCTAAATGTATCGTCATTAGGCTGCGGGGCAAAGGATGGAGTTATTACTGAGAAGTACATAAGTCCACATATACATAATGCAGGATAGTTAAATAACCGTGGTGTGCAAATGGACTGTTGTGAAGAATTATTAACTATTATAGAATAGGCAACGGTAAGCATAGTGCTAGAGTAAATATTTTATCCTGATTATGTGATGTAATGCACTGCAGTCATCTCTAGTAATGGCATGGTTAGATACATTTTATTGTAGTTAAAAGTAATACAGAAAGTTGTCCTTGCACAGCAATTTCAAACATTGCTATGTTAAAGCAAAACTGCTATGAGAAATCAGTACTGCCATTGCTGACCTCTCCTTTTAAATGCTAGTTCCCTGGCTGTCTTTCTGAGTCTTTAATGTCCATGCTGTACGAGTCATTGACCTGGCATAAGTAGTTCTGAAACTTTTCTGACACTCATTTACAGCTTGCTTGTCAGTATCTGTGACTCAAACCTACCTAAAATGCTTTCAAGTGATAACATTTGTTAACTTTTGGTTGTTCAGGCTGGGACACTGGTGGGAGATGGCCCAACATGTGCTTGAGGAACTAGCCTGCCCTGCAGCACATGTACAGTGAGGTGAATTGGTAACTAAGAAGCTGCATTTTTATAACCAGGGATTTGGGTGTGCGCATTAATTGGGGTGCACACCGTGTTACTGATCACTTTCATAAAATCTTGAGTATCCATGCTGGACCACTTGCTGGAGGTGGTCCTACAAGTGCTTATGTGTTAAGGTGGGAACACTGGTGGGAAGTGGCTCTTCATGGGCATTAGGTACTAGCCTGCCCTGTTGCACATGTCATGACTGACAGAGCCTACACTGTAATGGCTGAAATGTGTGACTGAGTAGCTGCATTTTAATGACCTAGGGTGAAGATGCTTGCTTCTGTGGGTGCACAGTACTTTTAAGAAAAGGTCTGGAACAGACTGTTATTTACACACAACTAAAAGTTATAGCTGAAATTTGAAATACAAATTATTTAAAAAAAAATAAAGATAACATAAAATAAATAAAAAATAAAAATTACAGTGTATTTTATCAAACACAGAAGCCAGAGATATTGCGCAGACCAGTTCCACAGTATGTAAGCACTTATACAAGGCTGCAATTTCAAAGGGAGAAACCAGGGAGTCTTTTAATAATAAAAAAAGAAAATAGTATTTCAGTCAGAAAATCCAGACATAGTTCACGTATTGGAAGCACATTATGTAAACAACTTTAATAGGCTGCAGATACCAGACAGGTTTTAACAAGTAAATACAATTGGAGGATATTATTTAATTGAGAAAAAGACAAAAATATTGTTAAGTGCATACCCATTATATGAATTGCTTTAGTAGGTTGCACTTTAACAGATGGACAAAAGGCAGGCTTACAATCAATAAAATA